TCCTCAATGTCATGGTTTACAGCAAGCGCTCTACGAGTCTACACCATAACAACTATAAACTTATTAAGTTGGGAAGCATGCTATGCGCCAACAAATGTCGTAATTTCTAGATCATGCCTGTAAAAATGGCGTGTGCCTGCTCATGCATAAGTATATTATTATTACCCTTAAAACTGACTAAGGATCGAGCCATTATCATATACGTCAGTTGAGAGTGTACTCCTCTTAGTTATACCCTATGTTCTCCCTGGTAGTCATCACTCACTGTTAATCATCTTGTTAAGACTTATTTAGCCGACGACATTTTGCAGCACTACATCACCTATAATTGCGGTACAAAGTTTCAGTCGATTTCAACAACTTATAGTCATTATATCTCAATGAAATCGTATTCCGCCTTATGATAACCTGCATACTTGCGACTAACTTGTATGCAACATCAGCCACTAGATATAAATATAAATAAATAGTCTATGGCAAATCAGAACATTGAGACTAGAACATGTATCTTACGAATGCACTCATGTTTAACGAATTGTTCTAAGTAATCTGACCAAAATTCACATAATTATCACGTTTTACATATTAAAAAACGTTTTGATAGCCATTCATATGTGTTAGTAGTATTGCTAAATTCTATCACGGTCAAGTAAAAATTAAGTCATGAAAATCACCCCGTAACTAAATAAACTGTATCAGACTAACTGGGACACTAGTTGGAATTCTCCTCCACGGTAATACTTTTGTTCTTTCAGTTAGCCTACTAATACAGGTGCAATTGAAAATCAACACATATGGACAGGTTATTTGATTTCATAAATTAAACCAAAAATAGTAACAATATTAGCACTTCTACAATATTAATCGTTTTTGGTATTTCTAAACACGGAATTTCATTAACCTACGGCTAGTACTACGCATCTTACGCCGATTTATTGAAATATCTATACACGAAATCATTCTTAATTTTTATAGTCCCACTTTGTTAAACTCCTATACAATCTTTACATAGACTTCTATTTTCTTGCGTGTTAATGATAAAACCAAACATTTTAAAATTATTTATACGGCCTAAAACTTGAGTCATTAACAACATGTTGTTATTTTGATTTGATTTGTTAAAATATCTCTATACTAAATTGTTCTTCATTGTAATAATCCCGCCATACTTAACGTATAAATAATGTTCATGTGGGCTTTTATTTTCAGCGTGTTATGTATTAAAACAGACATTTTAAAGCTATTTCATGTATTTCCAGACCAGATGCTGTCACCTTCATTTTGATTTATCTTTCAGCTTACCAATACCCGATGGATTCTTATTATTCTTGGTAACCTCCGGCGCGCGACTATCCCATCCAATATTGTATCGAACCAATATCACGTTGACTCTAGTGGGAGACTAGTGTAGTGGCACTGGGCCCTAATCACACAAACCCCAAAGCTGAACACGAGGCAACTGGGAAAATAGATATTCAACATTTAACGCAGAGAAAAACCCAACGATGGAGAAGCTGGAAAGAGGGAAGTGAATGAATTCAAATTGATCGGATGGTATGGCTCAACCTCGCAGGTGTGGTCACTCTGCACAACTTATTTTTAGTCATAATAAATATATTGTTCTATCTCCAGTGTGAATGTGTTCTCACCAAATCTTGGTAATTGTCATAAAACGATGAGTCAGCGTAGACAATGATGTGACGTCCACTCAAGACTTTATAAATTAGGCAGTTATATCATGACAGTTGTACAATTTTAGTATTAGGTCTATTATTAGAGCAGTACCAATATCGAAGTAGACCATAATTCTACAAGTTCACAGAAACAAACAAGTGAAGAGGATCATTAGAGCCGACAGGCAGAAATTCGTGGAAGACCTATCAATGGCAGCGGAAAAAGCTGCAACAGAAGGAAATAAGAGACAACGATCTGACACAATGAAGAAACTAGTAAGAAAATATAGTAAATCAGAGAGATAGGTCAATGGCAAGGAGGGCGAACCAACCGCTGAGATTCAAGAGCAGAGGAAGAGGTGGGTAGAACACTTTGAGAAACTCTTGAACAGGTCATCCCCATCGAATCCACTGGACAATGAAGCAGCACCTATAGTCCTTCTTATAGATGTCACTCCACCAACGATTAAAGAAATCTGCATGGTCATCTGACAAATCAAGTGTGGGAAAGCAGCAGTTCCTGACAATATACCGGCCGAAGCATTGAAGTCACCCATAAAAGCAACTGCAAACATACTCCACGTGCTATTCAGGAAGATTTGGGAAGAAGAACAAATGCCCACAGATTGGAAAGAGGGATGCCTTATAATGGCATTGGTGCTCACCACAATTCTCAAGGCTGAACATGAAATAACTGGGGAAGTAAACTTTCAACATGTAACATTGAAAGGTCAGTAAACGTGAACGCGGGAACATCCATTCAGTATCCAGTCAAATGACATTTCTCAGCCTTGCAGGTGTGATCATTATTGTGTAAATTATCTCTTTTATTCATATTAAATATATTGTTCAATCTACAGCACAAACGTGTTCTCCGAAAGTAGGTGACATCATATCAGTGATTCATACAGTAGGACGAGTCAGTGTAGAAAATAATGTAACTTCCACGCAAGATCTTATGGATTAGGTATTCACATCATGACAAATCTGCCATTTTATGACTGGGTATATTGTTAAAGCAATACTAATAACGAACTTTGACCATAATTCTACGGACTCATTAAGAAACCTGAGAAAAGAGATTTGAGCAAATGCGAAAACCATAGACGCATCACAGTACTGTCAGTACAAGGAAAAATTTTCGACAGCGTGTTGCTGAACCGGATAAAAGACTCAGTGGACGTTCACCTTCGAGATCAACAGGCTGGATTCCGTAAGGATCGATCGTGCACAGACCAAATAGATACACTACGGATCATCGTTGAACAATCAATTGAATAAAACTCGTCACCATAAATCAATTTCCTTGATTATGAGTAAGTATTTAACAGTGTGGATAGATAAACATTATGGAAACTACTTCGACACTATAGTGTGCCTGAGAAAACCATCAACACCATACGGACTACATACAATGGACTACACTGCAAAGTGACGCATGGAGGACAGCTGACAGATGTGCTACAAGTAATGACCGGAGTCAGACAAAACTTCTCACTTTCACCCTCTATTTTTCTTCCGGTAGTTGGCTGGATTGTGAAAACCTCCATATCTGAAGGGAAGCACGGAATACAGTGGACAGCTTGCATTCATCTAGATGACCTAGCCCTCCTATTCTATACACACCAACAAATGCAACTAATGTAGCAGCAGTCTCTGCATCAGTAGGCCTCAAGATAACCAAGGGCAAAAGCAAGATCCTGGAATACAACACGGTGAACACCAACCCAGTCACACTTGGTGGAGGAACTCTGGAAGAGGTGGAAACCTTGTATTTGGGAAGCATCATCTATGAACGAGGAGAATCCGATGCAGATGAGGATTGACAAAGCAAGTGTAGCATTCTTACGGCTGAAGAATATATGGAACTCAAAATAACTGTCAACCAACATCAAAGTCAGGATATTTAATACGAACGTCATGACAGTTCTACTGTACGGAGGTGAAACTTGGAGAACTACTACAAACATCATCAAGAATACACAAGTATTTCTAAACAGTTGTCTACGCAAGATGCTCAGTGTCCGTTGACTGGATTTCATCAGCAGCAGTCTGCTGCCAGAGAACAAACCAGCTCCAAGCTCATGAGGAAATTACGAAAAGACGATAGAAATGGATAGGACATACATTACGCAAATCGTCAAGCTGCATCACGAGGCAAGCCCTAACATGGAATCCTGAAGGGAAGCGGAAAAGAGGATGGCCAAAGAACACATTACGTCGGAAAATAGAAGCAGATATGAAAAGGATGAATAACAACTGGAACGAGCTGGAAAGGATTGTAGAGGACAGAATTGTATGGAGAATCGTAGTGAGCGACCTATGCTCATCTGTGAGGGGTAACAGGCGTAAGTAAGTAACCTCCATCAACAGATCAAGAACTATTCAGGGATCATAGCATTCAATATTAAAATATGTGGACGGATAACATACTCGTAGAAAACAGGTTTTGCAACCAAGTGGTTAGTGTTTAGAGCCTAATTTCAGTAAGAACAGTGTTCTATTAATCCATGAATGTTAATGACGGTAACATCAAACATGGCAATAATTACTGGTATACTATCAAGGACACATAGCTTATATGAGTGCAGTAACACAGAGACCTGAGGGTACCAGAAAGTTACGACTTAAAAACAACTGATAATTTCAACCTAGCTATCGGTCAAAGGTTTTCGAGCGTTATGATCAATCAAGCATTCAGACGTTTTGACGAGATGTTTCACATCCCATCTATGTAAAACCACACCTGAAGTACTGACTAAGCAGCCTGTCTTCATTAAGAATACTGCCAGTCGAGCGTCTTTAGCGTGAGGGAACAAAAGAAGCGGGAGATCTCTCAAAACTTCACTAGGATGAACGCTTAAAACACATAAACCTTTTTCACTTATCGTTTCTAAGTAACCTCATATTGTCATTCCGTATCTTGAACAACGATTCAGGTGTCGCTGTGTTTTATCTTTCTGCTCTCTTCAGAGCTAACCAAGAAAGTTAAAAGACAACGATCTCATAAACCCACAGTAAGGATCCGTTTTTCTTATCGTCTTACCCAAACAAGTGGTATCAGCCCATCAGCTGATATTTTTCAGAAGAAGGTGAACATTTACTTGAAAAAATCTAGAGGAATCAACATGGGTTCATCAGTCTACTATCTATACTACTGAAGACTAAAATTTTGGCAACTGATCTGCATATATAGTATTGAAATTGATGGGCGGGCAAATCTAGTTAAGCGTAACAACAACTGTAATGAGGATAACTGTTTGCTTATCCGGAGATTCAATTTTTCCGCTGGAGGTTTCAAATAGCACGTTAATATCGGAACTCAAAATGCTTATTGAGGTTGAAAGTGGCATATCTGGAGTTGATTTTGAACTATCAAGAGAAGGCAGGTTTTATGCGTTCAGTCAACTACCAATATCGAAAAGGCAGGAATTAAAAATGAGGATCTTATTTTTGCCGTTCCTATCCCAAGGCGCAACACAAATGAATCGAAGAGTGATGGTTCAGTAAGGCCGTTTTTGATATACTTGACCATATTAATTCTTAAGTCACGTACAGTTCCTTTGTTAGATTTTAAGTCAATCAAGGTTCCAGGTTCATCGGGTTCTGGGATACCTGAAGCTATTCGCAAGCATTTTCTAACTGGCGCTTCCCGTCGGCTGTCTATATTGGGTGAACGAAACCCAGAGTTGGCTGCCGTCATTAATGACCCAGGTGAAATATTAATTTTTTTCTTCAGAACCTCAGAAAAATTACCCTTGTCACAACTTAAGCCGTATATTAATAGTAACAATAGTCAAAATCCCGTTGTACTTTTCCCAGGAGTTCGTTTACTCACTAGTATTTATTGTAGGGCTTGGTAGACTATATTTAGCCTTTACGAATTATGTTTATGTGGCTGTTCATCCTTATTTAGAAAGTTTCAACGGCTAACTTTACTATGTCATCACTTAGATCGTCTTTTTGGCCCATAAACTTATGTGAGGTCCGAACTTTTACCTTGGTTTATAGACCCTTGGATGATCTTTACTTAATTGAATACTTGGTTGGAGGATGGATAAGTAAAACAGTGTTAACCGCGAAGTAGTTACCAATGATGCGGCATATCAATATTAAGTTCCTCAGCCCAAAGTTAAATGATAAGAGTCAAGACAACTGGGATATTTGTTATAAGATAATCTAACAGTCCCTTCGGTGAGACTATAATTTATGGACGACCTTTAAGCAACGCTAAGATGACCTAGACAGTGTCCAATTAATAACTAGGATTGAGTGAGGTTTATAAACCAATATGAGGAATTAAAATTATGATATACATTTGATGGTTAAGGTTAGAAATCGTTTTAAAGTTTCCATCGCTAACTGACAGTTGTAATGTCAAAGTGCTATTTAATCTAGTGAGTGGATGAATTTCGCGCTAAAATCCAAGACTCGTTATCTTATACCTGATCAGTTCGTCCATAAATCATAGTCTCGCCGTCCCTTTGCTAGTTTAGTTATCATTTACTGGACCCCTGTTAGTAAATTTACTTCCTACTTAAAATGTGAGATTGTTTCTTGGATTCGATAATCAAAGGAGGACCTATTGTAATCTGGGAACGAAATCTGAAATATTTCGGATATTTGAAAATATGAAGCAACTTAAACAATAAACCATCACAGCTTCTATTTCCTTTAGGGGCTAAAAAATGCATTGAGATGCCCTATGGTAATGCGCCAGTTGACTGCGGTTCAGATTTTAGGGATTTACATCGCTTCACCTACCGAGTACATTTATTTACTGTGGGTAAAATTATCTACTTAGGTATCGAGAGGATATGTCTTATAGACCTTACTACCAAAAAGCATACCAAAGGTCTACTTTTCGACAGGACTTTAGGCGTAATTGAGATACCCTGTTTTCTGCCATTTGATGATTAGTTAAGTCTAACTAGGTTTCTGGAGATTAGCTGAAATTAAATTTATATTTGATTTATAAAATCCATACGAGTCTATGGGGGCGGGGTTTAATATCACTTTAGATTTTCTCAATTATTTTTGCTGGTCTTCTAATTTATTCTCTAGAAGCATTATCAAGTAACATCTCCCTGTTACTTATGTTCATACCTTTTCAAGAGGTCCATATGATTTAATTCTTACACCGTAATATCATGCGGGACTCATTATTTGTATCTCTAAAATCCTACTTTGTCTTATCACCGTCTCATGAGCTCCATTAAATGACAATTCTTGTCTCTGACTGATCACTCCTTATCTCTTAGTATTCCTATCTCAGTAAGGTGCAGGGTTTTTTAAACTCATTCACCAGGTACTTAGATATGGGCCACTCTCGAAGTGTGAGTGGCGAAAATTCCACCCGGTTTCCCAAACCAAAATAAGTGGAGTGGGGTTCGAACTTTGGACTTGGTGGACGAAGATCCAAGGCATTAGGACAACAATCACAATTCACGGTTTGTGTGATATTCAATGAATTTCGATAACCTTCCTCGTATCAACCCTCTTGATCACTTCAAAAAAGTTGACTTCGTTGAATTAAAACGGAATTAGGTGGCACTGGTCGCTATCACTCATTATATCTATATCAATGTCATATTCACCTATACGTTCACATTAGTTTATTTGCGGAATTCTTCCTCATTTAAATGATGAAAGCCAGGTTTTCATGCATATTAACTGCACTTTAGACATTTATATCCATCAAGCTTCTCTTTGGTCACTCCATTGCTTATTTACAACTGATAGTCACAGACCATACAAATAAACGTGTTTTAAAATTCAGCATAGAAATGTATCATTTAAGATACCAATACTCGATATGAAGGAAATAAAATAATCAAATGAATGATAACAACAACTGGGGAAAAAAGAGTTCATGGGGACAAAAAGAGGCAAATGGCCAATAAAACTAAACTAACAGCATCATAGCCAGTAATATGTATGATATTCGTCTTTCCGTGTACTGTCAACTCAGATCTATTACTCTCAGTTAATAAGAAAGTTGATGTAGGTAAAAAGTTCAGTTTCTATTTGGGCTATAGTTTAGGAGTTCAGGTACTAAATTTTCAGCTATTATTTTAGTAATTCTGGTAGTATTGTTTGTTCTCAAACCAAAAGTGTAACTACAAACTCAGTAATTGGGCTCGTATTTTCTCATTAAGCTACATTAGCTGCCATTTCTTGGGGACTCTGAATTTTAAAATGATGTTCCGAAATTGCGAATATGAACGCTCTTATACACAAAACATTTTCTAACTCTAATGAATTAAATAGTTTGACTGTTTTGGTTAATTTCACGGTTGTACTGAAGTCTACTTGCACGAAATTGTTCTATTGGTAATGTGAGAGCATTTTGTCAAATGTTTATTTATTTTATATATTGCTTCCAATCGATAATAATTTATATTCATTTTAACTATTTTACATTAGTTGCCTTTAGAAGGGTTTTTGAATCACAACAGAGTACTGCTCGTCAGCATCGGGAGGAGCTTGAAAACTTGTTGTCTGCAGATGCTCTAAATCCAGCAGTTCAAGAAAGAATAGCTGAGCTTATAAAGTCAGTGGGGATTGTTTCTCTTTTTTGAAACCTATTGCTTCTGTTTATGTCTACGGCTTTGTTACTGTTTTACGAGCTATCTGGTATGATAATAGGGCTTGTATTATTACGTTAAATAACACGGTACATAGTGTTAAAACCCACCGACTACCAATTAGTACATTTAAACATATTTTACAAATTGCTCAATCTTTCTCGGACTATTTATACTATCAAACTTCACTCTATAATCTTAATGGGACGACGAGCTTGTGACGATCCTTATTATAACTGTTGCAAAATCTCAAAAGCTATCTGATTTATTTTCGTTCCAGAGTTCATTTATTTCACCTTCAGAGTAGAAGCTTTATATATAGTAATATCATTAGTAGCTTCAATTAAAGTTTCTAAATTTGAAAACGTCAAAGTATTTTCTATAAATATTGACCTAAACTAGTAATTATTTCTAATACTTTTTTAAGTTTCCAAAAAAACCTATGCCTAGTGACTGATTCATATCTGTGTTTACCGTAGTCATGAATGGTTGAGTTTTCAAGTGCGTTAGTCATCAGGTTTATCTGAGCGATAGCAATGGCTCTACGGCCGTTGCTGCTACGTTGACGGGCTTGGCTATTGTGATGAACCTACCAGGTTATGCTGTGGTGTATGCTACTTATGTCGACATAAGTAGTATGTAACACCAATCAGAAGCGGAATGCCTGGTAGCAGAAGGTTGAGAAGATCGAATCGAAGGGAACGGGAACAGACAGTAATTGTTATGGCAATAAAGAAACGATGAAGTTTGAATACTTAATGGAGGGTTGGAAAATGAAGTATTGAACGCATAGTTTTCTCATTTTACCAAGATACTTTGTAAGTTTGTGTCAACATATATTCGGTTGTCCCCATCTGCGTTCTTGGTCATTACAATACTGGCTGAAACAATCGTTCTTCAAGGTTCTGCCATGACAGGCAGGTCGGTTAAAGAGCGGTAAGACTAAAGGCAGCAAACCCAAGGTCTGAGGGCTAAGTTGTATCGCTGACTGTACAGAGGTGTGACGGAAATGATGTGTTTCTCTCAGACAGCCAGTATGACAGCGATGCTGCCTCCCGCAAAGGTCGGCCCTAAAAATTCACACTTTGCCTCATTATTATGGATATCATAATGATTACTATAATTATTATAATTGTCGGGTGCCTAGTAAAGGCTTGTGAACTGCGAATACAAGAAAACCAGACTGACTTCAGACTTGACCGTGTCTATATCGACCACATATTCACCATTTGTCGGATTTTAAAGCAACGACATGATTACCAGCGTCCGACAGTGATGGTCTTTCTTGACTTCAAAGCAGCATTTGACTCGGTACACCACGAGATTCTGTCGCAGTGTCTTTCATTGAAAGGCTTACTTCAGAAGTACATAAACCTTGTGAAGGCTCTTTACTCGAACACTACTAGTCGAGTCAGAGCTTATGGCAAACTGTCATCTGATTTCGCAGCCTCAGGTGGCGTTCGACAAGGTTGTCCATTATCTCCACTTCTGTTTAACTTCATCATAGACATACTACTGAAAATAACGCCGTTGTCGACCGAATATTCGGGAATCGGTCTCCTTCCAGGAGGTCCGCATATTGACTTAGAATACGCAAATGACATAGTCCTATTTGATGAAGGCGCTGATAAAATAGTCTTTTGGTAGCACTGAGCAACAATGCCAGGATGTTTGGGATGCGTTCCTACAACTCTAAATGCAAGTTGTTGTTTCAGGACTGGCCTGCGTCAACAACTGAACTGAGTGAAATAGTCGGACGCGTCGACAACTTCACTTATCTTGGAATTCTGATCAGCCCTAATAGGTTGGTGTCTGTTTTACTTTACGGCTGCGAAACATGGCCATTAAGAGTAAGAGATATTCGTAAGCTACTAGTATTTGACCACAGATGCCTTAGAAATATTGCTCGCATCTGCTGGAACCACCGGGTAAGTAGTAGTGAGATTAGACGCAGAGTATTAGGGAATGATGGTAAATCAGTTGATGAGGTTGTGAATCTTCACTGACTGAGATGGTTGGGCCACGTGTTGCGTATGCCTGAACACCGATTAGCACGACGCGAAATGCTGACTAGTGTTGGGGATGGTTGGAAGAAAGTTAGGGGCGGCCAAGCCAAAACGTGGCATCAGTACTTGAAGTCACCAACTTCTAGTCTAAGTCATGTTGGTAGATGCAGACTACTTGGTTGGGGTCTACGCGACTATCGTAAACTGCCTTTGTAAGGGTGTCAGAAGCCTGTACAAACATCCACCTTGCGCCATATTCCCAAGTTTGTCTTTCCTTTTGTGATAACCACTACATTTCAATCTTGATTTTCATTTTCATCTCATCGTGCCAATCAGGTATGGCAACTTGGGCCAATGCATATATGTGGCAGTCTATATGTTGATGTTATCTGTTTGTCTGTTTTGTCTCAAACCATTTGAAAATAATGGAGAGTCATGGTTCTGGTTAGCTGTGCGGGTGTTGTGGTAGTTATGTTAAGCCTTACGTAGTAAATGCCAGAGCGGCATGTGCCAATATCGGTCACACTTAGTATAGTTATCGCGTGATGTAGAGAAGTCTTCAGTCCCAACAGTTGTACCACAATTGTAGTATGATCTCCAGTCGAGGATATTTGACTGTTCTTTGCAGTTAGTGGTAATACAATTTGATGTATACTGTGGTTCGGCAACTCATGTTTGAGCAGAGTCGAGATCAATAACTGTCTACGGAAACCAGTTGAAAAAGCCATCTGTTTGTGATACAACTTTGGGAAATGTGGCATAGCCGTCCTGGAATGGCACATGTTAGTTCATGGAGTCACAGCAATCAATCGTCTTAGTGGCTTGAGACGCCTAAAGTGGTTTAAATCTGAAGTCATTGGGGATCCTGCTATAGTTTATTTTTACTCATCTGATAAGTACTAAGATGAACTCATTTTGATTGAATTTTATTTCAGCTCTATCCCTTATAACTATCATTCTTGTTGTTATTGTGTTCCTTTAATTTCTTGATATTGTAATTTTGTGTTGTATGGTTCATTTCCTGGTACTAAACAGTATCATGCTTTTTTATTAGAATAAATGGCAATTGTTTTAAGTAAAGGATATAGATCGGTTGTAATTAGGCGTCAACTTGTGCATATTAAGGATTCACCGGCTTCAAAAACGTTGATATTCACTGGATTAGGAGTGAGATTAACGAAGCCTTAGTGGTTGGAAAAAACATGGGATTATTTAATAAAATCATCAATCGTATCTCCGAGTGTGGACTTTGGGATCGGGATTAACGTAGTAAAGAGTTTGATGATTGATACGACTCAAAATGAATTAGAGTATATCAGATGCATTCTGCTAATAGTAGCTACCTTTATTACTACATACTTACACAGATTTCTTTGTTTTGTCCCTTATTCCACCTTTTTAAGTCTTTACCATTATTGTCACCATTTTCTATCCATCATTTTATATCCACTATGCCACTTTAAAGTATGTTGACTCAAACTTTTGAGAATTATGTGTCTTTACATTTTGATAGACAAAATAATATTGACATGCAAATGGAAAGTGCTCTGGAATATTATCCGGAAACATTTGGCCAAGTTTCAATGTTATTTATCAATTGTAAAATTAAAGATCAAAATATTAAAGCATTTGTTGATTCTGGAGCACAGAGTACAATTATGAGTGAGGATTGTGCACGACGTTGTAATTTAGATTCATTAATTGATAAAAGATGGGCTGGGAAAGCTTATGGTGTTGGAACACAAACTATAATAGGTCGAGTTCATAATGGATTAATAGAAATTGGAGGTATATTCATTCCGGTTAGTTGAATTGATTAGATTCCTCATTTTAAATCAGTTGTGGTCAACTTGTCTTTTAGAATATTGTTTTAGATGTTGCATTTCATCATAAATAGGTTTGAAACTTATTCTAATAATCTGTCTCTGAAGTTTCATGTTAACCATCTGTGGTGAATAATCGATGTTAATTTAGCTTTCAGCAGAGAGTGTATCGTAGAAAATGAATTTGTTACCAGTTATTTACGAAAACATTTATTTTAATCATTAGCTTACACTTTTTTGAATGGATGACACTAACATCTTACTCAACAATGATTTTACAGGGGGTTAATATGTCTATTGAAGTTAAAAAGAAATGTACCAAACATTCAAAGTTAGTCATGCGGAACGTTTGACTATTTTGTTGATTAGATAGAACTTAAAGAGCTAGATTAATTTATATCAAATAATCTTTCAATTATTAGTGTAATACACTGTTAAACTATTAAATGCATTGAAATAATTATTGCCACTTTGCATTTGATATTTTTCGCTATATGATTGTAATAAGGTAGTGAAATGATCAGATTAGAATTGTTTCGGAAAGCACTTGGACAATTTTTTTTAGTTTGTTTGATGTACTTCATTTTAGGTATGTATACATGATGCGGTATACCTAATTGCGAGTGATTTTCATCTATGCATCTCACGTGCCCTTTGAGGTTTTAAATAAATTATATATGATTTGATCCTTACTACTTCTTCGTTTCTCTTCGAGACATATGAGAAACAGTTTTTAAGTTACGAAACATGATGGGTTCGCTGAAAATGTCTGTTTTTGACAGTTTTATTGTTCAAGCTCTGTATAGTCACAAATATTTACAATTTCTAAAATGATGATGTGTTTGTTAATGACAAAGAGGGAAATGTGACCGGTCTTGGGGAACACTAATTTCTAAATGAATGCAAAAAAAGTTCTTTTGCAGAAGTTTTAAGTCCTCAATATTTTTGCAGCCTGTCAGGTGTCTTTTTTTTGCAGGGCATTAATCATCAATTACCTAGTTGACTTGGCTTTTCAACTGTTTACAACCTCAGTAAATTTAATAAACGTATTGATTAAAATTACATGTCACTACGTTGCATAATCAAAATTAATGAATCACCGTTAAAAATTTCATAGATTATCGTTTAACATGTTTAATTATCTTGTACAATATTTTCATGATTATATTATTTTTCTAGTTCAAATCTACTATGTAAATATAAAATGAAATTAATCAATAGGAGTTAAATAACAGAAAAGATGGAGTCTAAGTGAATGTGTTTAACAAGATTAAATAATATAACTCTAAGCTGCTTTTGATTCAGATGAATACTATTTGGTGGATGATCTATCATCATTCCTCGAACCTTTCTAAATCTTAATCAGAGTTGTCATATTTATACTGAAATGTAATACAAAATTCCTAACATCAAATTAAAAACAACATTTACAATTAGTAGGGCACTTGGAAGTGACCAATGTCGTGTTTATCTGATCTATCAGTACTAATCGAATTCTGTTTATCAAGTTGTAATATAGCTATTAGTCTAAGTGGCTTGACATCTGGCGCACTATATTGAGTTTTAGTAAATACTTTTGTCAATTACGTCGTGATTTGAATTCATTTATAATATATATATCCAAATTTTCTGAATGACGTGTTACAATCTAGAACATGTCTAACACAAAATTGAACTTTCATTATACATACTTTGTTTTAAGTAACCAGTTAATCTCACTAGCCTTCATATAAATGGTATATCTCAAATAATAAGCTTGGTTTTGATAACTGAGTAACATTAACTCTATTATTATTATCATCACATGGAGGCAATGAGATATTATTTCCAGTTTATTCTATCATAAATAATTTCTTATCGGCTGTTGACAAATGAAAATCTTGCATACTGAATTCCGAATATATACTAATTATTTCGTTTTTAAACAGTCAATGCTGGTGGATGTGTCAAGAAGATATTAGAAGTATTTCTTGTAAATTATATATAAATTCTTGTATTTTTATCATTGCTTCCTTTTCTGTTCAGGTTTCTTGGAGTATACATTGTTTCTATTCAATTCTTGTTCTGATTTCATTTGACTTTATTATTGTAGTGGAGTACTACATAAATAAACAGAAGAAAATAACATTACTGTAATCATGTTAGGAGATGTATTATACAACGATTATGTATCACTTTTATTGATAAAAAAATGAAAAAAAATGCCTATTCCTTCCAGTTCACTAAGTGTTCTTGTAAATGTTTTTCAAAAATATTTTGTTAAACATAGTTTGTAATTCTTTGATTAAAAATCCACTCTCATTAGTTGTTTAAATTACACGCTACTTAAAATGTATGATGATACTTATCATCTGTTTACTTTTGCGTTATTTTACAACTTACATAATTAATATTTTTTATTCAATGTATAGTTTTCAAATTTATCTTATTCTAGACGTCTTTCATTGTACTAAAAGATCAATCTATGGATCTGCTCATTGGTTTAGACATGCTCAAACGTCATCAATGTTGCATTGATCTTAAGCGTAATGTTTTAATCATTGATGGACGTATTGAAGCGCCTTTTCTTCCAGAATCTGAAATTCCATTGTCCTTATCAAATCCATCTATTCTGGATAATGAAGACACAGATGAGAGAGTGAGTAGTGCTTCATTGTTCTACTGAGTTAAGCTTTTTTACTACTTTTTAAATTGGTCTAAACTCAGCAATAATAGGGTTAGAAGACAAAGACTTTAGTTTCAAGGAATGTTTAGTTCTAGTGATTATTACTGCCTTTTGTTCCATTCTCTTTATATTTGATGATAAAGTCTGAATAGTTAGTGATGAAAAACCAGTATTTGACCTATGCTTGCGAAGAATATAAGCAAAGTATCTCAAACCCAAAATGTTTTCCTTCTTCCATGCTCCATTTACATCATACCATTCAATATAAAGAAAATGAATCAAAAGACCATATTAACAACTGAGAGTAAGCATCCTTTGAAACGAATTCTAAGTCGATTGAATATACTGAAGCGGTAGCCGAAGTCTTATAAGATGATCTTGATATAAAACAAACAATACTGGATATTCTACACACTACGGAAAAGCCCTCAAAAGACCAGTGAATAAAGAAAAGTAAATGATAGTAGATAACCATCTAACAAAAAACAAAACAGAACAAGCCGAGAAAGCACTAGCTAAGTCGACCTACAGAATAAAAGTACTCAGAGTTGTGTTAAAAAGAGGAATACTATTTACTGAAAGATAAGGAAAGTTGAAGGAGGGTACATACAGAGAGAATCAATATTGAAATAAAGCAGCTCTTCTAAGTGAACAGTAAGTAGAGTAGAAAAGATTAGAAATCATTGTGGCTATAATTGGCAACAAAAGCTTCAATAAAGAAAAAATAAACCTACCAATAAGTAATAAGATTATTCTCACTTCTATTTATCCATTTCCTGGTGAGTTTTGTAGTTTCTAACGAAGAATTTAACTTTCATGGTCACGCCACAACGTCGGAAATGGCCTCAATGCTCTGATTAAACGCTATCAAAAGCAAGCCAGATATTAGTCAGCATGAATGTCCTATTTCCTTTTCAGACATATTCTTGTCATAGCATCATAAACTACACAACTTTAGTTTCAGGAAGATAACTGACATTGGATTGTCAAATATATTTGACTTAATTATAATTTTTAACCGGTAATAAAAAATTCATTCTGTTGAAATACACATACAAAATCTTTGCATTTCCTTTCTTTTCCATAAACCTCAACGAAAGTCTTTTACTCGCTAGTCTCTTCTCCTGGTATATACCGAAATCTGAAATATTCTAAGCGGTTTGATAACAACACAGTGGGAAGTTAGAATGGACATAACTTTCTTTGCACAGCTTATAGTAGGTAAAACTAAGTAAGAATAAAGGTAGTCGTTGTAACGTCAATACAACATGGGAATTGCGCTCTTCTGAGAAATATAAACAAAAGGGTGTAAAACTTGGAAGAACACTTCTGTCTAATTAAATGATAGTTACACGTTTTTATAACCTTTATTACTATTGGTTAGGTAAACCTAAGTGGTGAGTAAAGAGAGTTTTGACCTTATTATTATTTACTAGTTGTAAGCTAAATGCCCATACTACTTAGTTATAATTCAACAACTTAATGTTTCTATACTAGTCCGATATATTTAAAGTTTTTTGACTACTGTCTTTCATCATCACTATTGCTTAGATAATATTACTAACTTATATTTAGTTCATTATATGTACTAAAAATCATAAGATTATTGTAAACGTTGAAAAATATTTGAAAATTATGATGATACAGTTTAAGAAATAAATTCACTGATATGTTTTTTAATCATTGAACAATAATCTGTCCTGATCTGTAATCTAAATATCTTCCCCTTAGATATTATTGTTTTCTGTGCGAGTTTTGTAAAATTCTTACTCCTTTTATATGTTTTTAGTACACTGATTTGTTCACAATTTTATTATTCCTATAACATGATACTTATACAACTTCATTATTATTTTCTTAGTTTGATGAATCACAAAAGTTAAAAATCCAAGTACTTGTTGATCGTGGTATTACTCGTTCCAAAGCAATCGATGTATTACATCGTAATCAATGGGATTTAGACGCAGCTTTAGCTTCTCATCTTCACAGTATGTTTGGTCAATCTAGATAATAAATTGGAATATGAATTGCTGACTATCTATCTATCTATCTATCTATCCATCCATCCATCCATTAATTTATTGTTCTTCTTAATTTTCCGTTCTTTTTCTGAAAATATAATCAGGGGTTTTGCTATTAGTCAATTTTGTTTCTTATTCATCTGTATTATTTTATTCTGACTTATCTATTAGTCTGTATGAATAAAGCAAACAAGTTCATTTGGTTATTCCTTTTCGTTTATACTCGTATTTTTATTGAAAAAGGATTGTTTTTTTTAATAAAAACAATTCTAAGAAAATTGTTGAATTTGTCCGTTTTTATTATATTATTAATGTATGTTATTTTATATTTATTTCTGTCAACCTAATATCAAACTCTCTGTTTTGTATATCCTTATTTTGAACAGAAAGGTTGTATAGTTCCGAAATTATATTTTTATGTGTTCACTAGGAAGTTACCTAGTTGTTTGAGTTCTAAATGTACAAATTTAAAGGTGTATATTTAGGGGGATTCATATAAAAAATCGAGAAGTATCAAAGATTTGTAACTTTACAATAATGATATTGTTTTCAATTATTAATCTTACTAATGAATCAGTTAATAAGTCGTTCGATTTTCATGATGTAAATCTTATAGTTGTTGTTTATTTACGATTATTACGAGTATTAGTGTTAAAAATTTCATCAAGTCTTGATTGTTCTATCTAGAATAGTTAGTGCACAACTAACCCATGGTCTTTAATTTGCCTAATCTGCAAAAGCTATCATTAAACAGCGTACTGGCTGGTGACTAGAAGAAAGTTGTTAATAGAGTTTAATAATGGCATTGACTGCTCATTACTCTGGATAGAAAATTGATTAATGTCGAAAGTGTCTATTGTGTTTTGACTCAATGGTCGTTGGGATTTGTTATGAGATATAAAGGTTTCAAATTCTTACCTTTGGGCAAGACGAAACAGCTGTCTAATGCTCCATTGGTTTCACTGGTTCTTTATAAGATGACAACTATTCTATCACACTTTTATATTTGTGTTTGCTTTCTACACTACTGTCTATCGGATTTAAGTAGTACGAAGTAATTATTTGAATTTGCTCGGCATTTGACATAAAAATGTACATGATTCAACACCACTTAAATACACAAACGACTAAGTGGTATAGATGATTTATGGGTCACTTACCAGTCATCAGAAATTACGACTCAGTTTTCAGGCTTATTCGACACCTGCCATATCAGACAAAATCTTGCTCACTTTATTTTCACTGTCTTTCTCACATTGGTAACTTGGCATAGTGATTTCTATTCAGAAGCTATTATATATAAGGCTCTTTTGGTCACAACTTATTACATTTATTTTGCGTGGCACTTCCCCCTCTAGTTTAGTTTAAAGGACAATCGACAATTCACGACGTTCTTTTGGCATTCAAATTGCCAAATAGCATTTACTTCAGATTTACCTACAGAGGTAGGAAATTTCTAAGGCACCTTGTGAATAAATAGATGTGATGAAAGTCAAAGTGACCAATTGAAATGAATCCGATTGCTTCAACTATTAGTTAACTTTATAAATTTGAAGACTAAAATATTAAACTGGAATTAATATATTTGATGATAAACGAATTGAATCAAGTGGTGTGTTCATAATATTCTATAAATATTAGCAGTCTAAAAATTTTCATAGAATATTCAAAAACAAAGAATATTTGAACGAACAATTATTTCCAATAACTTCATCATCGGGCTCTATAGTTATAAACCCATATTTATTGTGATATTTTACAGAGCCGAGAATAAAGCATTACGCTAATGAATTTGACAATGTTAAAAATGGTGAACTTTTGCATCTGTTACATAAATAATTCGATACAAAATAAATCTGGTCAAATGTTAGCCACAGAATCAAACTATTATATTCTGAGGATAGTTTACATAGAGAAATAGATATTCTAGAAAACACATGAAAAAATAATGGCTGTCCAGAAAATCTTTATCACAACAAACTCGGACAGCGGAAAAAACCCTTTGTCTAAAGCTCGATTTTAGGGGAGCATAGCGGGTGACAATTTAACACGTCGACTCGAAAGATCTATTGAAAGGATATTTCACACCGCCACGCCACATTTAATCTTTTTAACTAAGCCAATACTTACACAGTAAACGAAGGATAGGTTACCGATGATGTGCTCCTCCATGTATGTATACCAATTCAACTGCTTATGTGGAGCTGGTTTTATGGGCCGTATTTAGGGGGCTGTACCCTCATGTGAATCTGAACATGTAACAGCGTGGTTGGGAAAAGTAGTCTCGAAATCTGTTAACAGTATTATTTCTCTCTTGACAGATAGTGAAAATAGATGAAGCTTCCTGTGTTTCGTATCAAGTGTCAAACAACCTACTTACAGTAGTTAGAATACGAATCCATTACATAGCTTAGGCCATCTGAATCGACCCCAGGAAACCCAATTTATGTATCCAGAAGAGGTGAGTCAATTACAGAACAATTAAAGTAGAAGATATGTATACCAAGTCCTGCCTTTTTATAAATGATAGTGATATGGTAATATTGATGTATCAGTCAGAATCAATAAAACTATTTTTGGGCAAATTTTAAAAATGAATGACTTTTATCGCAAAATACTCGATAGAAATACTTTTGTATCGTGCTTAGGAAGTTTGAAATTTTGACGAAAAAGTCTTTTGCCATCATATATTTAAATGTTTATGGTGAGAAATCCTTTATAATTAGGTTTTATCTATCATTTACGTTACAGTTTACTTTGATTTACCTAATCTGCAAAAGCTATCTCATTAAACATAGCGTGCTGGCTGGTGACTTGAAGAAAGTTGTTAAGGTAAACTCAAAGGAATTTCGTTAATGGTTCATTGAACAACATACATGTTGGTGAAGCAGAAATGTTAAAACTGATGACAATTTCTACATAAGACATTATAATGTCATTTTGACGACTATAATAGTTTTCTTATAGTTTTATCTCCGTAACTGCTTAACAGTCTTATTGATAACTGGTTTGTTAGCTATGACGAATTTTCTATAAAAGTATTTATAGCTATGAGATGGATTCACCGAAATTGACCGTTTATCTTGAATAAGTTACACTTTTATTAATCTGTTATATAAAAATATTTCTACAAAGTGAGTATCTGGGGAGTTATAATGAGCCCTAATAAACTAATTAAATTCTTGATGATACCATATTTTAACGGATTTCATTAATTTTGTCGCGAAATACTTAATTGATACGAACTATCTGCTCAATAAATTTACATCGTATTGCTTGCATGAATCTTCTGATTTATGTTTAAGATTGCAATTGATCAGTCACTTATTGACATAAGTGCATACTGTGTATATTGCCCTAATTCACGAACATTTTAAGCAAAGATGGATAGTGGCTAGCAGCGGAATGCAGGACATACGTTTCGTCACATTTGGGACTCATCAGAGGGATTTACCTGCATCTCAGTGCTGATGTTTACTCTGAGCCTCGAACCCAGTATCGTTAGCCTCAGATACCATCGTGTTATCCACTTAGCTACTGAGTCCTGATATCCATCTATGCTTATAATGCTTGTGACTTAAGACATATCGAGGTAATACGCACGGCATGCCCATATGCCGATAAGAGACTGATCAATTACAGTCTTAAACATCATAGGGAAGATTCAAGTAAACAATACCAAGTGAATTTAAAACTTCATCCCATTGGAAAAGCAAATAGCTATCAGGATGACGCGATGACATTTGGAGCTAATGGTACTGGGTTCGAGTCCCAGAGTGAACATTAAATCTGAGATTCAGGTACATCCAACTGACGAGTCCTGGATTTCATTCCTATCCACCATCATATCTTCCCAATAGTTCAAAATTTTCTTTAAAATTATATAATCATCTTTTAAGTTGCCTATACTCATTCTTATACAAGTGACCTTGACTAATAAAAGAGTGTTCCGTATACATTTTTATTCGATTGACAATTCCAGTCAAAATTTATTACTTAAAATATCGGTTTCTATTTTTTTATGCATAAATAATTATCGTTTATAAATGATTGAATTTAAAATAAAATCTCTACTATTGATTTTGTTTTAAAGAAGAAAAAAAAGATGAAATCTTGTAATTATTATTCCATTTTAAGGGAAACAAACAGCTTCAATTGACTCATGATCTCAACCATTGAAATTACTACGATATCCACAAAAACCCCTCTGATATGAATCAAAATATGCTCACTAGTGACTGGCTTCAAGAGGTATATCCTGGAGTTCCAGTGAGAAGCAGTAACCAGTGGAGTTCAACCAGGTCTGTTGTGAGGTAGTAACTCCCTGATGACAATGGTGGATGTGTCACTCAGTTTCATGGATTGATTGAAGTTAGACATTAACACCGTTGGATGCCGGACGGCTCATTGGTCTAGTGGTTAAGCGCTCGCGCACGAGACTCATAGGTCCTGTGTTCGAATCTCGTGAGGCGGGATCGTGGATGCTCACGCCACAATAGGACGAAACTGTCATCCAGTGCTTCCAGGTTTTCCATGGTGGTCTAGCTTCAACTGACTCATGATCTAAATTGTTGAAATATAGATTGTTTAAATGAGAAATTCAATTGGCATTTTATTATGTAAATATTTTGAGTCGAAAATGTTTTTTTTCTTTTTTACAAAAACTTTAAAATAAACACAGAATTAATGAAGAGATGTTCATCATATTCAAAATAACAAAACAAACATTATATGTTTAATAAAGAAGATTAAAGCTTTATTTAACAGTGGTTTCTATTACATAATAGTGTCATTATACTCATTAAATATTGGTTACATTTTACTAAAAGATTACTAACTAATGAACAAAAATAATTAAATCACTTCACTTGACAACTAGATAATCTTTATTGATTTTTTTTCATGTTCATATTGTATTGAGTAAATAAAAACATATTTCACAAAAATTTGAAATCTAAAAATATGGCCTATTTAATTAAATATGTAAACT